GACATAAACACTGCCAGCTCAGGACTTAGCCCTCAGCCTGACGTTTAAGCACAGGTTCTTCAGCACTAGTCACTGTGCAACACACAAAGTAAGAAGTCAAACCAGAAAAGGCTATTTCTCTCAAAATCAATTTTCCCTAAACATTATGAAGACGTTAACAGAGTGATTAAATCGTTATCGTTTCCTAAACAACAAACTGAAGACATGAACAAATCCAGGCACGCAGTCAGAATTGTGTGTGTCCTTCTTAAGGAAACAACAGCATGTCTGCAGCTGGAGACCAGCAGGCTGAACAGGCGGTGAGCTCCGACCCGCACAGCTCCAGGAAGTTGCTCGGAAATTTTGATGGATGACAGCAACTTCTTTATGCACAAGCAATCCAATCCAGAGTGGGGTCAGAGCAGGAGACCTGTGAGATACGGCTAGGCGTTACGATACATAAATTAAAGCCGATTGTTTGTAGGCCTCAGTCTCCACAATCTAAGCTGTGCATTAAAACACCCTTTTCTTTATATACCCTGTAATAGTAATAAAACAAATCAACACGTTTAAGGAATTTATTTCCTTTTCCAAAATCAAAAACAAAAATCAGCTAGGAAATGAAGGAACTGCTGTACACCAGATCAGCATTCATACAAAATATACACCAGATTGTTTTCCATTCCGTAAATTGCAGGCATAAAAAATCTTCTAGATGGCTTTTCTAAATGTCGAAGTCACCAGTAATGGCTTTAATTTGTAAATCTACCATTTCAATGTGCTACTTGGAATTCAGCATAATTACTTGGGCCCTAATAGGAGCAGAAAGACGACGGACACTGTCCAGAGCACGCCTTGTCGAGCAGTCTGCTCAAGACGGCTATGTTGCTTCGTTAGTCTCTATTATTAGAATCAGCGGCTCTTTGACCACATGACTGTGTCCTCTGCTCCCACTCCGGCCCTGAGCACTGCCCCACCCCGCTGCTGCAGGGACTCGAACCCGTGCTTCAGAAACGATCACTCGGGCAAGCACAGCTCCCCCTGCAGGCTGGGAGCTCGCTCCGGGTCGGTCAGCAGTCTGGCTGCTGGTTCTGCTCTAACACCTCCTGGTGACCACCGGCCGGCGGCCCGCCACAGCCCCTCAGAGTCTCGCCCCGGGAGTCCCAGGCCCGGCTGACAGGACCAGCGGTGTGGCCCGGATCACTGCCCACCAACTGGCTCCGCCTGCAACCCAGACCAGCGCCTTGGCCAGGGGACCAGGAGCCCTCACAGTCTGGACCCAGGGCTCCAGGCCATGACCACCAAGTTCATACAGGTATATTCGCCACAACTGTTCCGTCTTCCCTGTGTCTCACCAGTGCAGTGTGGACCTGTCTTGTGCGTTCCTGCCTACAGGTCTAATTGCTCCACAGACCAGGTTTTGGCAAATAAACTAGGTGTGAACGGCATCCAAGGATATAGGGAGGGATGCTGTTACAGACTACCTAATCTTTTACCTTGATCTCACTGAATGGAGGCATTAATCATTAAGCACCTCTTTATTTCCCGCATAAATCTTAAAGCACACAAGGTCTTTGTCTTTACTCTCCAAATCCACAGGCCCGAGAGTAACTCCCCTCCGGGGCCCGAGAGCAGGCGCATGTGGATTAATATCACATGGCTGCGGACAACATCCTGCCACATGACCGGCTCGCACAGTCGAGGGAGAGCCAGGAAAAACCGCTGGCCGCTTCTTCAGACACTGAGGAATGTGTCCACCGCCTCCCCAAACAAATCGCGTCACCTCGGTGCAGTCCTCGGGGGCGGCTGCAGAAATTCATTTAAAATTCGCAGGACTTGAGAGCGACTCAGCCGCGTTATAATGATGGCTGACCATTGGTGCTTACTCCTTGGTATTTCCGAGTGTGTACTGTTTTATTAAAACAGATACTGTGGAAAATACTGTGGAAAAAAGTCATCAATAAAGGGCAATGAGAAAGCCGCCTGCGAGTCTTCCTTCAGATTGAAGGGTCACAAACACGCCGTCCCTGCCCGGAGCCGGGCGAGGCGCACAGCAGCCCCGCCTTCTGTTGGCTTTCAGACCTTCTCCTGCACAGAAGCAATACAGTAGTGTGTTTTAACATACATCATGCGAATAGGAAAAATGCATCACAGATTGCGATCACTTTTTTTGCTAAGATACATTTCACGCACACAGTAAGAAGCGTTAATGGTCTCATTAATAGTGCTAATGGGATGAGATTTGCTGCGTCGGGCCTGAATTTCAATATTTGTGTTCTGGGTTATTGGCAGAACCTCACTGGAAATCAACCTATTCTTCATAAGAGGATAGTAACACCGATGGTTTTTTTTTTAAATAAAGGGGTTGAGAATCCACAAAGCGATGTGCTCTGCACAGGGACCCTGCCCGCAAAAACCTCAGAACAAAGACCCTTCGTTTCATTCGGCAGGCTCCATGTTTTTCTCACTGTTGTTCATAAAAAAAGTATTTTCTTTTAAAACAAAAAGATGTTACTTGTGCAAGAGGTATTGTAATTTACCGAACTGCAGACTGCCAGACGTAGTAACCGTGATGATTTGACGCACGTGTAAAGTAAAGGCCTTTCCCTGGATGATCTCCGAGGAACGACAGGAGAACCCAGATCCCTTTCTAAGATTATGAGGATTGCAGTCCACATAAACCACAGTTCACTCACGCCGAGAGCCTCAGCTCAAAGCGGCGTTCAAATTGACGATAAGCTTTTCACGGACGGTGGACGTAACGGGGAAGAAGAGCTCCATCTGGTGGTCAAATAAAGAACGTGCTGCTCACCGCTGTCTAGTGTGCCAACTTGGTGAAAATATATATTTTTATAATAATAATAATAATAATTGCCTACACTTATATAGCGCTTTTCTGGACACTCCACTCAAAGCGCTTTACAGGTAATGGGGATCCCCTCCACCACCACCAATGTGCAGCCCCACTGGATGATGCGACGGCAGCCATAGTGTGCCAGAACGCTCACCACACTCCGTTGGGCCCCTGAGCAAGGCCCTTAACCCCAACTGCTCTAGGGGCGCTGTACAATAGCCAACCCTGCGCTCTGACATCAGGCTTCTCTCCCTGTCTCTGTGTGTCTCATGGAGAAAAGCTGGGGTATGTGAAAAGACGAATTCCTAATGCAAGAAATTGTAAAGGGCTAATAAAGAAACATTATCATTATTAACATTATATTAATAGATATTCTCTTAATCGTCAATTTATTATAAAAAGCTTCTATCCAATAGTGATGAGGTTAGTTGTACAGTTAGCTTGATAGTTGAGATATTATGAGCAGAGGGAGATGTGTGTATGTATTGTTGTATATTGTTGCATTTAACTGTAATCCAAGAGTGCGATCGTCGATATTGATCTGCATTCCACATGACGCAGAATCTGCACAGGCAGGTAAGGCTGAGGGGCTCATGCAGGCCTCTTGCAGCCCCTAGTGGCCAGACATGAAACAGCAGCACTCCGTTCTGAAGGACAGAAGAGTATTCATGGTGCTGTCGTCACTGCGGAGGGAATTCAACAGAGAGAAGCACCATTGGGGAGGCCTAGCGGACGCACGTTAGAGATTTCCTACAGCAATAATTTAATGACACACATTAATAATAATAGGTACATACTTATTGCCGTGGTAAGATTGGGCTACCACCCCTTCAGAACCAAGCATTACACCACACAGAATCTCGACGTAACACTTGACTTCAGTGGCAAGTGCAGATGAAAGTTCTGGACTTCCCCAGCACAGCTTTGAACATAGTTTCCAGCCCGAAGTTTCCAGTGTTGCAGGGCTCTAACTGGCAGCCCAGGGAGACGAGGGGCCAGAGGAACAGGCCGTTTCGGTACACCCCAGTCCCACACAGTCAGGTTCCTGGGGGCATTTCACAGGACCACTCTTTCAGCGTTACAGTCAGCAGCTACATCACCCTGCAGCTCCCAGCTGGCAGCCCACTGAAGCCCAGTAGGTGTGAGCCGGGCCAGTACCTGGACGGGAGACTCCTTGGAAATCTGAGACTACTGCTGGAGGTGGTGTTAGTGGGGCCAGCAGGGGGCCCTGTGGTCTGTGTGGGTCGTAATGCCCCAGTATAGTGACAGGGACACCTCACTGTAAAAAAGGCACCGTCCTTTGGATGAGACATAAAACCGAGGTCCTGACTCTCTGTGGTCATTAAAAATCTCAGGGACATTCTTGAGGTGTCCTGGGCAAAATTCCCCCTGGCCTTTAACAATCTTGACCTCCTAATAATTCCCACCTCTGAGCTGGCCTAATCACTCTGCTCTCCCCACCACTGAGAGCTGGTGGGTTGGGAGCAGACTGGCGCATCATCCAGGTGGGGCTGCACACTGGTGGTGATGGAGGGGATCCCTGTTACCTGTAAAGCGCTTTGGGTGGAGTGTCCAGAAAAGCGCTATATAAGTGTGAGCAATTATTATTATAATTGCTGTTGTAGTTACAGTAATAGAGGCAACTTATCTTTAACTCAGAATCTAGTCACCTTACACCAATTGCTGCTTTCGCACTGCCTTTTGGAAAAAAAAACAGACTAATTATTTTACGTCTATTCCCTGTGGAACGTGCCAGTCAGGAAGCAGGAAGAAAGCCTAATGGCATCTGTGGAAGCGTCTCCTAAAATGTCCAACAAAATACACCTTTATCCAAGCACAGGAACGTCTCTTCCCTCCTGTTTGGAAACTGCTGTAACACTCACATGCCAGAGAAAACAGGTTTTAAGACACGATTTCAAAGCAGAGGGGGATTCAGTGTTAGCTGGTGTGTGGCGATAGCTCTGGCGCACTCTGGCTGCAGACGCATCATCCAGGTGGGGCTGCACACTGGTGCTGGTGGAGGGGATCCCCCTTACCTGTAAAGTGCTTTAAGTGGAGTGTCTAGAAAAGCACTATATAAGTGTAAGCAATTATTATTATTGTCTGGAACAAGCTCTTCTTGATTGTACCCCTCTAACGTTCTGGTGTTGACAGTATGCTTACCCTGCATGCTTTAGAATGTGTTTATTCAGAAAACATTTTCAAAAACACACAAATTCAATCAGGAACCGTTAAAACTGGCCGCAAGGAGGAACATGCCTCGCACAGTTGTCAACTAAGAAAACGAACAGGGTGCTCCGCACTGCTCTGCTGTAAGGACGGAATGAGAGAGACAGAGCTACTGCCTCACGCAGTCACAGCAGCAAGGCACTTGACAGAGCAGGAGCGGGCCCTGATGCTGCACATTCACATTCTCTCATATCGATTCTTCACCCACAACGACAGCAGACGTTCGCCAGCATCGGCAAAGTAAGGACCGCAGATCAAGGCAGTCCTCCTCGGCTCACTGCAGCGCAGATCGCTCTGCCGTCGTTCCCGCGCGCCACGCTGGCCAGTCAGGCGTCTCTCTTCTTGACGATCAAGGGCCCCACGTTGTCCCCCGTCTCCTCGTTGTGCTTGGCGTGAGCCCCGTCGCAGTAGGGGAACTGGAAGGTAAGGGGGACAGGGTTAGGGTTGGGGTCAGTCCCGGCGGGCGGGCTCGGGCCAGGGAGCGCAGCTCGACTGCGAGCAACGAGGCGCTGTGGCCGTCTCCCTCGAGCCTTCCGCCCCCTTCGGCCCCCTTCGGCCCCAACACATTCAACTGAGAGTCTGGTGAAATTGTTCACGTTTCACAAGCACGTCTCTTCCACACAACACTCCGGTTCTCGGTAGCAGCTGACAGGCAGGTCTGTTTCTGCAGTTTCCCCTGTGCCGAGTCTGTGGCCTGGGGCCCCGGGGCCCGCCTTCCCTCCTCTTGCTGGAACAGACCCGATCACATCGCCCACCGGGTGATCACCTGGACTAGAACTGTTTACAGCTCTCTAGGGGTTTCATCTGCTGCTCTACAGTCACTGCTAATGATATATGCATATGTTAACTGAAGAATAAGAACAATATTACATAAAATCCAAAACTAGGCTCTTGGAAACACTACTGAAGCTACAGAGCAGCGGCACAGTTAGAGATATTCAGTTTTGTCCATTTAGTTGTCAGTTTTTGCTTTTGTTCACATATATGAGTGTGTGAAAATGGTAAAGTCAGACAAGGGGCGAAGTCATACCAGTCTATTTTGAGGGCTCTAATGACTCATGTGCCACTCTCCCACCACTGCTGAAAGACTGGCGTCGCGGCGGGGAGCTGGGTTCCAGCGGTGTTCAAATTAGATCGCGTTAATGAAGCTCAGAATTCAGCTCCTGTGGAAACCTACTCCTTCCCCCGCCACCTCAGATGCAGTGAAGAACATCACAGTCACAACGGAGTGGGAAATTAAAACAAGCTCAGAGTCACACAAGCTCCTTCCCATGGAAGGGCATCAGAATCAGTGATTTTAAAGACGCGCGCCCTGAGGCCATGTGTGCGTGTTCAATGCCACCTTCTCACAGGACATTAACATTTTATAGTTCAGATTTTGGAACAGCCCTAAAAGTTCAAACACAGGAGGAGGCGCCCCTGTGTGGCGGCCCCCCAAGGGCGCCGGGCTGGGGCCACAGGGAGAAGGGCGGGGTGTCCTGCCTGACCCGAGCTCCTGTCCCGCCGGACCGCAGCCGGAGTCACATCCCCCCAGGGCCTGGCGGCGCACGGCCCCCACTGCAGTCCGGTTCAAAACCTGTGGCCACACCAGCGGTGGACACAGCGGGCACTGGGCACCTCCCACTGGACACGACCGGCACCCTGGCAGCCACCGGACCTGACCTCTAACTTTACCTGCAATCAGACCGACATGAGTACGCCTGATCTGAGTTTTGAGTTTGTTTTTTTTAGCCAGGGGGAACACCAGCCCTGCCAGGGCGAACGCAACAAAACAAACGGATTCCCTTTCGAGGTGGCACAGTCGTGAGAGGCGCTGGGGCTCCAGGTTCAGTTCCGGACCTGGGGCGCTGTCTGTGTGGAGTTTCTAGGTTACATGTGGGTTTCCTCCTTCAGTCCCAATTTAACTGGGTTAATGTAATGAATTGGGCAGGTTAACTGTCTTCTGGGAAATGCAGCCCTGTTGCCTGATGGCGTCCTGTCCAGGCCGGACCAGCGGTTTGCTGGGACAGACTCCTGCTTCCCCGCGACCCTGAACCGCATAAAGCAGAGAGAAGACGGAAGGCGGACGGATACCTTTTTGGATCTCCAGCACCTGCAGTACACGGCTTTCGACCCGAGGTCTTCGATGTCGAAACAGTGGACGACTTTGGGGCTGTCTTTACTGATATCGAGGTTCACTTTGCTCTTCTTGGAAGACCGGCTGTAGATGTGCTTGTAGATCAGGTACCCTCCCAACACAGCGGCCACAGTCACTGTGGCCAGGTGGGCTGCAATATCAGACAGGTCGGCATTAAAATTTTAAATCCAGTTAAGACCTGGAACTGCAGCTGGTTCAGAACACGTCTGTGCAGGCTGTGCACGGACAGTAATCACGCCTGGAAATGACAAAGATGCGCACTGTGCCACCACATTCAAAATGCATCTTCAGAGGAGGCAGCCACACTGCTCCTAAAACAAGGTTACAACTTCGAAAATATTTCGACGTTGTTGTACTACGGCCTAGGGGGCAGGTTGTTGGAAATGGTTCACGTTTTTCACAGAAATATTAACTAGAACACGTACATTTCAATTTCACGGCTTTATGAAATCCCCCGCTTGCCTTCAGGATCCTGTAAATGCGGTCTGTGCCTCTGGTGTCAACACAGTACGCCGACCTGCGTGTTCTGGTCTGCAGGCGCCAGCAGACGGGGCTCCCCGGCTGGCTGTCGGCCGGTCATGTGACGGGGCAGCGGCCATGGCGACCGGGGTGGACCCTGTCCAGCGCTGCTGGACCACGGCCCCCAGCCGCAACAAACCAAGGGACTCTGGTCACTTACTCAACGGGAAAGCAGGTTCACTCACCAGGGGCATAAAAACTGCATGAAAGACTGAACCTGGAGCGACATTTAGTACCGAACTCACGGACGGAGCTCAGTCAGCGGGGGAGAGCCTGTAGCTACACCTTAACTGATGGAAGCGCGCCGTCATGTTCCTTCGCGTCCTAATCGTCTGCAATGCGGTCGAGTTTATTCTTATTTCTGCCCTAAACATCATTATCCTGCCGCGGTCCTGCAGTAAGGCTGTGCATTCAGCGCGCGGTTACCTCTGTGAGCCGCCAGTCCCGTGAACGGCGATGTCATCTCGCGCTCCAGCGCTGCAGCAGCCGCAGCAAGGTCACAGCTCTCGCGACCCCGTCTCCCCCCGCCCCGCGAGCGTGTGGCGCCCCGTCCGGCCTGCGCAGGCGGCTGTGACGTCAGCCGTCACGCCGCGCCCCCTCGTGCCTCACGCACCTGTGCGGCCGGCCTGCTGCAGGTTCGGGAAAGGGAGCCCCCGGGTGACGTCATGGCCTTTTACGGGGGGGGAGGAGGTGTCACGTTGACAACAGGAACGGAGAACACTGCTGGAGCACAGCTGTTCACTTTGAGATTGTGAAATATCACCTCCTCCGTCATACACGCCTGAAATTAATTTTAAAGCTTTTATAAGAAAAACGTAACTTAAAAGTCACAGCTGCTGTTAAATAGAGCTTCATTGGGACAATACGTGAAGGTAAGCATACACAGAAATGACAACTACAGCCTACAAAAATTCCTTCCATTTATTGAACATGCACGTAAGGTTAGCGCCCTTTCAACAGTAACGATCTATGTACACGGTGGAATACACAGCCACGATCATGCACATAAAAGCGATTTTTAAATTAGATCTCAGCAAAAACATTCCGCTGGATGTGGATCTTATATTTCTACGTGGACATTGGCCAACACATTTACGGAACGAGATGGTCTAGTTCAGCAGTCCGGGCTAGATAACGGTTCAGTTGAAAAGTCAACTCTATGCAAAGTACGGCAGACGGAGGCTTTGAGCACCTGAGGTGTGGTCGTCACACTGTCAGTCTGCTGGTTTTCATTCCAGGCGAGCTCCGTCTCGTCAGCCCTAATTAAAGCCTTTAATTTAACTACTTGATTCATATAGTCCAGCTTTCTTCTGCATTCAGTCCCGAGTTTCAGAAATATCCAGTTTAAGGCCAGTGTTTCCAGCCACTTCAGCATACAGAACTCCACAATGCCTCTCCCGTATTTCTCACTCTACAGCTAGTCCAGGGTGATCAGTTATTGATGAACTGGAACAGGTATTCCCACAGAGACTGTTCATTTGGCAGAGGTCCTTCCCATTGGGTTTGTAACACGCAGCACACCTGAAACTCACACACTGGTACAGGCAGGATAACAACTGCAAGTTTATTTCCACGTTCAGAGAGCTTAAAGCAAATTTTAAAAATACACCCTAAATAAACTGAAATTGATTATCCTGTGATTGATAACTCAGCTGGAGTCAAACATGCCCTAATGTGACAGCGGAGACCCCATCAGATCATTCTTCTCTCTTCAGTCGTCTGAGAAACAGCGCAGTGAGCCGGTGGTGATCTGGAATAAACGCACTGTGAGTGACTGGCCCATTCACACAACACCCTCCCGTACCCAACGATCACGAGCGCTCTGGTCCAGTGCCCGCGCTCAGCCCGCAGAACCCGTGGCGGAAGTGACGCTCGCCGCCTTGCTCGCACCTCTCGGTAGCTGCAGCAGTCGGGTATGGAGGCATTTACACATTCAGCAACTGCAGCCTACTATCTCAGTAGTGAAGCGAGATGTATAAACCTACGCAGAAAGGGGTGTTATCTTCATGGAGTACCCTTAAGGCCTCACAGTAAAGGCCTTTACTGACGTGCCTCACAGTAAAAATGGAAAGAATGTTTTCTGTACTCATTCTTAAGAGAGACAACTTGGTACTGAATGTACTTATTTTAGGCCATGCCTCCATTTTAAGATGTCCTTACTGTATCTCAATTTAGTAAAAAGTGAGAAGTTCTCTAGCTATAGTGTAGGGGGAATCATTATTAGGTATCAGTTTAAAATACTGCAGTTACCATTGTACACAGCATCTCTCTTGATTTTGAAAAGTAGACTGCTGGGAAATTTTGTTCAGCAGCTAGCAAACAATTAACATACACACACCAAGTCTGGCACAGTGGTTACAGGCTCTGTACTTAATTGAAAAGGTGTGGGTTCAAATCCAAGGTGTGGTACTGCTCATTATACCTTCGAACGACATGCCTTAATCCTATTGCTACAGAAAAATGCAAGTCATTGAATAAAAAGGGCAAAATCCATAATCAACAGGCAGCTGCAGGACTGCAACAGGTTAAACAGGCTCTGTGACTAGAGATCAGCATCACCTGTGAACTCCAGTTAGAGGAACTGAAACACTCAGTGGCTCACATGTTCAACGAGAAGCATCCTGCCTTCTTAATTAGAAGACTTACCATTTTAAACAGACAGAATTCGCTACATTTGCAGGGACGTAGTATGAGAAAAACACTAGAAAAATGTAAAATATTTCCCATGATGTTCAGCCTTGCGGGAAAGTTGTGATCTTGCTATAAACCGGTGAAAGATACAGAGTGACCTTTTGATAATCAGAATAGCTCATCTCCACAGGCCTTCCTGTTATCACGTATCAGCAGAAATGAGGGAAGCACATCTACTGTCGTTTCATTTTAAATGCTAAGAAAAGCCAATCTGAACTCTGCATGTTGGGGTGGGACAGGCCCAGAAGAACGACAGCCTTTTGGATTCTCAGTTAAACCTGTTGTAACCAAGGGGCTTGCCAGGTTGTGGACTAGGGTTTATTGATCTCTATAATAGACTCTCTAAGGAAAAAACAGTTAAGTAGTTAAATTGAGCTAAAGAAATCCAAGGAACAAAAGTTCTCCTCACACAGGTTTGACAGCTGAGCTTTGATATGTTCTCCTGGAAGTAACTTATCTATAAACCACTACCACTGTCACTCTGCACTGTACACCCGAACAGAAAAAAAATGACAATTTCAGTCTAGTAAGTGCACAGGAAAAAAAAAAAAACTGAAGACATTTAAAAATAACCCCACCTTTCACACAGACACCGAGCTTAAACTGGTAGACAGAGTTTCATGCTACAGCGACTTCACAAATGAAAACAGACGAGACAGGAGATTACGTGTGCACAGCAGCCCGGGACTGCTCACTACAGAAAGACACGGAGCTTTTGAGGAAGTCTTGCTGGGCTGGAAGCTCCCGAGAACTGACAGACTCGGGAAACAGCGCACAATGTTCGACAACTCGACATCAGAAGACACCGGATGCCCCACTGCCAACAGTGACCATCTAGTAAATAATAATTTCTTACACTTATATAGCACTTTTCTGGACACTCCACTCAAGGCCCTTTAGAGGTAATGGGGACTCCCCTCCACCACCACCAATGTGCAGCCCCACCTGGATGAAGTGGAAGCAGTTGAAGCAAAGCTTACGTGATGCCTGTCCCCTTGGTTTCGGGGGCCAAGGGCATGAGGGTCAATCCTGAATCCCAGAGTCACCTGCAACTATGCAGGAACCTACTCCGATATCGGCAAGAGCCACCACACCTTCTCCACACCGTGGTGCACAGACAAAACCCCTGACTCCGCTCCTCTTGAAATGCAACAATGCAACACAGTACTGGCCATCTGATATCCGACACGGCACCTTTTCCCGACTCTACCAAATTTTTACACTTCTCGGACAGCTAGCACAACCTGACACCTACCGGGAAGGTGATGCATATGAGGAAGGGGGCAGTTTCCCAGCTCCCATTACCTATGGGGAAACAAAAACACACTTGTGCACTAAGTTGCCAAGAAGATGCAAGTACATACTACTCTCAGCTAATCCCTCCCAACACCACCTCGTTTCCATAGACAGGGTTACAGGAGTAGGGAACAATCTGCCCAGCCACATTGTTGAAGCCGATACTCTGGCTTCTTTCACAAAACTGGCAGGTCAGACCCTTGGATCAATGAACTACTAAGTACTTCGCAAGAATGTTGCTGCCATGAGTAAGTCAGTATCAGTCACTAACTTTACTTGGGTACACACTCTATCATGTAAAGGTGTTCTTTCACATGTGACCATTTACTCCTAGATGGGTAATTCAGAAAAGATTTACTCCTGCTGAAAGTTACTTCATGTACAGGTAATAAACTGAAAACTAGTATTTCAAAGATTTGTCTTTCCCCTTAAGTGACTATTTTGTTCCCCTCAAGATACTTAGAAAATATTTGGCAACACGTGGCAACTACCACATCCTAAATATTTCAATGTGTCCAACGGTCACGACTACTTTTGCACTGTCTTGAAAACCACTGTAGTGATAACCCTCAGTGTTTTCCAAGCGATGTGTGATCTGTTAGAAAAATCTGCTCAAGACTTTCACTACTAAATAAAAATTTAGTAATACTTTAAAACTGTATTACCCCCCTTAGAATATCATACACTTCCAGTAAATCTACACAAAATGTGAAAACTACACATTCAGTTTAACACAAGACTGCTAAAAAATTAAAAGTCAGCAGTTATCCCAGTGATTCTTAAATCCAAACATAAAGACTTTAGTAATCAGTTTTATTACACAGTTTAATCATAATTAAACACACAAGCTCAAAGAGCTTTCAGGTAATTAAATATACAGAAGTTGTATTTTTGTATAGGAATTCATACCCTTTACATCCAGAAATGTAGCCATTATGAGTAACTGGAGCCATTAGCTTCTTATTAAACAAAAGCCAAATGCAAATTAAAGGGTTTAGGGAAAATACTTAAACTAATAACTTGTTTATATAACTGGTCCAAAATTCTAGTTTGTAATGGATGTGGGTATGGTTCTTGGTCATGACAATGCAAAAACAATGAAAAAAAGTCCTTCAGAATTTACCAGTAGTACAAAAACAAGCCAAAGACCTTATTCTTCTATTCATAACCTCTTATGAGTTTAAAAGAATTCCTAAGAAATTTATACAAAAATACATTTGCCCCCACTAACTGATTACTACTGTAAATATTGCCTGGAAGCACAGGGAAACAAAAACCCCTCAAATTTTCAGACTAACCCAGTTTAAAACGGCAAGGAACGCTTTTAGATTCATAAACGTTATGATTGAACAACTGGCCCTTAACACGTTTTCGTGTTAAAAATGTCATTTTTGAAAAATAGCAAGATACAGGGAGCACAGTATTTCTAAGATCGCTGTTTCAAATATGTACAACACAACGCAGCACTGCTGGGTCAGGTAAACATGTGCACAGGGGAAGATGAGGCATGGGCTTATAGAAAGCAGTCAAATGGAAACCAAGATTTTTTCTTCCAAAGCTCCCCTAGCCATACACGTAGAGGTGTGTCCACAATCCTCCGGAACTACATTGCATACTTTTGTGTCCATTCCCGAGCTATTCTGTTGTACCTGAAAAAGAGGAAGAAATTTCAGTTTATTTACTATTAATGGAGGAAAAAAATGCATCGGTCCCAATAAAGTAATGCAAGGAAACCTGGCTCCTGTTTTGTGCCACTGGAATTTCAGATCCTACATAAGCACTGAAAAGGGTGCCGAGTTCACCCATTGCAATCATACGGCAACGAGCATCCAGCATACAGAGGACTCTCGCATCACTCGTTAGTACTTCACAAGGAAATCAACCACAAACGTTCCATAAAAATTCAGAAATGGTTACGAAGGTTATATTGTTGACCACATTAGACGCTAGCGGCAGCCAATTCACAAAGGCGCGGATTGTCAGTTTATGCACGTCTACTGCAATTTCTCTTCCGATAGTGGGGAAATGATTGCAATCCACTGTAAAGTCTTCCATTTCCAATTTGTGTTAAAGCATCAGGAGTTTCTTGGGGTAGTGGTACGGTAGAAAAGCACCCTGCTAGCCGACCTGTTTTCAGCTTCCTCCACGCACTGGAGGAGGAACAAGAACCAAGCCCACAGCACCTGAACGCGGGGGCAGCATGTGAGCTGCAGAGAACAGAACAGCTCGACGGCTTGGGCTTCACCACAGAAAGTCCAATATCCCTGAACATCAATACACGTGTAGCAAACCACTTCACTGTGACCACGACTCTCACGGCAGGTCTTGTATTTATCGCTATTCCAAGGGGAAAAAAGTACAAAGTACATCTTTAATAATTTGGGAGACCGTTTTAAATATTGGTGTCAACCTTTTGTTTTAAAGTGTTGGGACCATGACGATTGTATATAAAAGAAGCAGATGTTTTTATGCAGATAAATCAGGCAGTAGTTTATACAATAAAGTGTTCTGCTTATTTGCAATACAAAAAAAGGCATTTAGAAACAATCAATGACTGTCTTTACAGCTGTGTAATTTCGGAAAAAACATTCTTTCCACCTTTAAGCAGTCTCCTGTGGTATCATAGAGAGGAGAAAATATTTTTTGGCAAAATCTGTTGAAGGGCAAGGATGGAAATAGTTTTAAGTAAGGACTGCATTTAAAAGAAAATACAGAAACCAAGCTTCTTCTACGTACAATATGTTGGTCAAATTATTAAAAACCATATAAATAATGCAAACGGACGACATGACAGCATGCCAGCTAGTGTACTCACTTTTCCCTGTCTGTTTTGTAGATGCGTGCAATCTCTGGCACTAAGGGATCATCTGGATTGGGATCACATAACAGTGAACAGATCGACAGGAGAACTGGAGAAGAAGATACAATTATTCAACCAACAACCTATTAAGGATTCCTCCAAAAACATGCTGCTTGAAAATGGATACAGCCATCAAAACCTACTGGCACCTTTAAATTTAACATCATTCTTCTAAACACTACAAGAATATTGCTATGTGTCTGTAGTATTAAATCAAGCAAAAAGCCTTTTCCTTCAAGTCTAGCACGTCCGTTTAAATTAATTTCAATTTGAAACTTGTTTTCCTGCTCATTGCACAGAGGAAAAAAAGCCAAGTCCCAATGTTTACAGTCCTCTAAATGAAGCCTTTAATATTTTTACAGGAGGCATAACCTCACAGCAAACTGTTAGTAAAGATAAACAGCATTTGTAATTCATTAAATAGAAAGGTACAATAATGCAGAGAAAGCAAATTCACGGCCGATGTTATCAAAGAAGTTTAAACTCTTTGCAAGTGACTGTTTCTTCGAGCCTCTCCGCATTATATAGCCATGATGTGGAGGGAGCAGCCAGGCAGTTCGTCTGAAGTCACAGGAACAAAAGAATGAAACACAGAAGCCCTGGGTGTTGAGTAGTTGGACAGGATTGTATGATCCCTTGTGCTTTGAGCTAATGGCCAGTCTGATTCACAAAAGCCGAAAAGCTGCTTTCAAAAAAAAGTACAGCACCCTCACCCTCAGATGTTTTCATGAAGCGAGCTTTATTCCTTGGCTCGTGGTCACTAAAGGAAGTGTTCTTTACTCGTGTCACATAATGCAAGTCTTAACCCATTTTAAAATTACCTGGTCGTTTAAAAAGTTTCATCCACCTGAAAAAAAAAAAATTATTCCAAAGTCGTTCTTCCGTTTACGGGGGGGGGGGGGGGGCTGACCGAGCCACCTCAAGGAAAATAAAAATCCTAACCAGGTACATCTCTCTTTCACTTCGCACTCCATCCGGTTCCGTCGCGGGACGCAGTTGACGTCACCTGAACCGTTTCTGCCTCCCTAGCACTGCGTGCAAGAGGAAACGCAGCCATCTGCGATACTAAACGAAGCCAGTGGGGCTGGAGGAGCAATGGCTATACTGCCTCACAGCCTTTACCATTTCTGTCGAGGAGATCTCAGCTCACAGGCTGAGCGCTTCAGGTCATGCCGAGACCCATGGAACAGAGCCCAGCTGACCATGTGGGCACTATAAACTGATTTAGTGCACAAGCACCACTGAGAAGCTGTAACTCATCCTGTTACCTCTACTTCTTGCCCCGTGAAAACCGCAAGAATTACTTGCTTTGTGCAACTAGGGTGAAAATGCAGTGTCAGCAGTCGTGTGCAACATACTACCCTACCTTTTGAAATAGTTAGCGCTGGCGACCACTGTGATCGTAGGATATCGAGGCAGATGCTGCCATTGCTGTTGATGTTTGGGTGGTAGATTCTTGTTGTAAATGCAACCTAAAGGTCAACCAAAAGGAGAAAAAATAAAAACATTTAGGAAATTAAAAGCAAGTCTGAAACAAATCTATTACTGCTAGTTCTAAACAGGCTTACTTCAGTGTATCAGTGAAACCATCACTATATACAATAACCTACACAATTAAAACATTCAACTGAGACAGCACCAAAAATAAACTCACCTTTGGTGGTTTGAATGGGTAATCTGTTGGGAAATGAATTGTCAAGAAGAACACACCACCCTGGTAAGGACTGTCATTCTGTCAAAGACAAACATTATTGAGACGACACAAAGACGTTGCTTCACTCTTCAAACTGTACTGAATAACTGAATTACTTACTGGTCCCATTATTGTGGCCTGCCAATGGAACACTGAAAGAGACAAAAAGGACCTGTAAGAAATATGAACCGCCACTATAATCACTAAATTCACTTTCACGGCCGGATTCTGCTGGTTTCCTCTTTACCAACAAATCAGTGACTACAGCTAGTTTCAGAACCGCTCGCATCTTCAAAAACCAGCCTAGGAACGTAGATATGTCTTGCAGGCAGGTTACACTCAAGCCTGCATTGCTGTGCGCCGCAAGAATTACAATCACTTAAAAAGCACGTGATGGCTTCCTCATCCCTGTGGCATGAAGAACTAGGAAGTAGTACTGGCAGACTTCCTGGTAACAGCCCCCCTGACCTTAACCACTACCAAGGGCCACAGCACAGCACTTCTACACTCACTTGTTCCACAGAAGAGCGGCTGCATTTATAAGAAAAATGAGTTAAGTCAATTCCACTGAAGTAACCGTTAAAAGCCGTTCTAGAAAGGACTACTTTTTTTTTTACTAGAAACCTGCTCACTGTTTAGCGGCTCATTTGAAACTGGAGACACCTGCTCTAACAGGAATGCACTACGTCCTTTTAATTCCCTTGTAGTTGAAGGGAAAAACTGGCGGCCAGATCATGAACCTTAAAGTTATTCATCAGGTTCTAAAAATGACAATAGCGATATATAGCAATAAATGACAAAAGTCAGTAAAAATGAAAATGAAAAAGATCAGCTTCTCAATGGCACTTGTGGATTTAGCAACCAAATAAGATCGATGAGGTGAATGGCCTGATCTCGTTTGTATCCTTTATCTGAATGTAAACGATACATAGAGGACATTAAAGAAAATCATGTTCAATTGAAATGCAGCATATAGATAAATTACAATTCTAATAAGGGAGACATCTATTTGACAAACATAGTGGGGTATGTACATTTACAAGGGAACCATCACAAACATTATGGCAACAAACTTACACCTATAACTATATGAAAAACTTAATTTTCTCAAGTGACTGACTTACACAGTACATTTGTAGAGAAATACAATACAAGTTACTACAGCTTAGCAACTAGCAGACAGGGAGGGCTCTCTTCCACAAAGGGGACAAGGCTATATGACTATCTGGGCTGTCGAGGAATCCAGACCCAGGGGTGGTGGGGAAGGCAGTTTGCGCCTACAAGGTGTAATCTCACTCCATGCAGAGAGGTGGCTGTGGGACTCCGGTGAGAAGGGCAAGCTAGGGAAAAGGACCCCAACCTGAGGGCTAAAGAGTTGACATCTGGCTGTATATACAAGAGACCACCTGGATATATCATACTGTATGTGTACAGCACAGGTGATGGTTATGATGTGAGGTAGTGGGTGTATCACATTCTTTTATTTTTGTAACATCTTAGGTTATGGATTCTGTACTCTGGGTTTTGGTTACATGGTTTACAGTTCTTGGGAGCAGGCAGAAGCACATGGCTATAGTTGCCAACAGTTCCCCTTGGGTGTCACCGAAGGCTAGAGGTGGATAATTAACACTGCATGGAAGTATCAAATTGAATTAGATGCATCATTATTAATACAAAATGTAAAATATGCAAAATCACATCTGTAGATCAGAGAACATAGGAGACATGGGCTTTGGCTACAGCATGGCGGTAAATCTTACTGTATCCCACTGTGAGCACAGAAAGATTGAAACATGAGGGTCACAGGTCACAAAACACCACCTCTTCCCATCTCCTCTGTAAACTCCTGCCTTCATCAAGTTTAGGCTTCCTGTTTGGTGTCCACTGATGGGTGGTCACACACCGAAAAGTTAAACGGATTCTGGCTCTGCCATATAATTCAGCTGGTTTAACCCGGGTGTAGTGGTCAACACGCTTGATCAATGTCTTAGGATTATGTGTATGTCAGTGGGGTGATCACTTCACACCAGCCTATAGCAGTTATTTTGTCTGCAGCTACTACCATAACCTCTCACGGCTGTTCCCTTGTGTTTTTTGACTCATCTGAATTCTTATGAAAATAATTTGGGCAACGATGCACACTTCCTTCATGTCTGTAGAAGCTATGCTTGCCACTGTTTACATTAATACAAATTAATCCACCAATCCACGGTCAGGCAGATAGTGTAAAAAGTGGAGAAAATCACTGTCACTCTCCCCAGGAGTGGTCGCCCAACAAACTCACTCCAAGAGCAAGGTGTCTAATATTCCGGGAGGTAACGTCTAAGGATCTGCAGGCCTCCCTTGCACTGGCTAACGACAGTGTTCACGAGTCCACCATCAGGCAAACACTGAACAAGAAGAGTGTGCATGGGAGCACAGCAAGGAGGAAGCCACTACTTTCCAAGAAGGACATTGCTGCCCCTTTAAAGTTTGCTCAAGACCAGCTGGATGAGCCAGAAGACTACGGGAAGAATGTTCTGTGAATGCATGAGCTGAAAATAGAACATTTTGGCTTAAATGAGAAATGTATATTTGGCGAAAACCAAACACTACACAAGAACACCAGAACCTCATCCCAGCCGTGAAACACGGTGAGGGCAGTATCATGGTGTGGGGCTGTTCTGCTGCCATGGGACCAGGACGGCTTGCCATCATTGACAGAACTGTGAATTCTGGTTTGTACTAGCAAATGCGGGGTATCTGTCCATGAACTGAAGCTCAACAGAAGGTGGGTCTTGCAGCCGGACAACGACCCTAAACACAGAAGTCAACCTACCAAAGAACAGTGTAAGCAGAAGAAATTTTGCGTTTTGGAATGGCCGAATTCCAGACCTTAATGCACTAGAAATGTCGTGGCAGGACCTGAAGCAGGGAGCTCATGCGAAGAAGCCCACCACACAATACCATACTGCTCCACATGCAGAGCTCCCATCATACAAGAGCTGCAGAACAGGTCCTCAGAGCAGACAGCACATCGTTGCATGACTGACAAATTCTACTCTTACATACAAGTTCATAACTCAAACATGACGTTACAACTAAAGTGCAGAGTACTGTTTTCTGATAAGAATCAGAAAAGCATAATTCAAAATAAAGGTACTCACTGTCATCGCCAACAGGTCCTGCTGAACACTGTGCTGGAGGATCACGTGCCAAGTCATTTAACTCCTAGAAGTAAAAGGAAAACATCAAATAAAATTTCAATGCCTACAGGTACAGTGAAAAAGACTGGAAGAAGAAAGATATGAAATTTCAGAAGTGGAAAAGATAAGTAAATGAATTATGACCAAACGTTAACACCACCTAGAGACATGGTCAAACAGCTATGCGCCAACAGCAATTGTTTTTCAGAAGAGTACAAGAACCATCAAATACAGTTTAGTTTGACTCTGCAAACTGTAAAATCATGTTGCTGTAACAAGTCTCAGATATAGCTGAGTATTTTGACAGTTTTGTATACTTCCGAGCGTCAAAGCGAGAAACGTGATTCAGTTAAGGTCCGAGTCAAACAACATTGCAACTTTCTCTTCGCTACACGAGCAATGATACAGGTGGCGATTAATTAAACTGGTGAGTTTACTGGGCTCTTAGAAACAAACCAAACGTTATCTGCCTGATCCATCTACTCTCACCCCGACTTGTTTGGAACGTCATGATTCTGGTTTGTTTTGAGGAAACATGGATCTTCAGGACTCGAGGAGATGCCTTGAGATCACAAGTGGTTGCTGTGGACTTTGGTGGCGAGGGCAGGTGTCATTCCACACAGCCACCTGCCAACAAACCACAAGCCAATAGCAGCTGTCAGAGCATCGTTCCTCCACAACCACATCTACACCGTCTTCCTGGGAACACGGAAGCACCTGAGAACATGCCGATACCACAGCGCTGCACCAGATATTAAGCCTCATAACACGTAAATAAGGAAGCAAAAAATCTTTTGCTCAGCTGGAATGAATAAATCAACCATTTAATAAATCTACAGAAAACAGACTTGCCCCAGATACATACACAAATGAAGCAACTAAATAGGGATTAAAGGGTCCACCCATCTGATCCAGCCTCCACCCTGATCCTTTCCGAGGTGCATTAAGTTTACATGTTACTAATTCGTATCTGTCCACCCGTCCACTGTGCTTCCTGGCCCCGTGGCCACACATGGTTGTTAAACCCCCTACAACGATGAGATCACCACTTCCACGTGAAGAAACACCACTCCTGATCGACACGCTGCGGTCAGCCGTAGCAACAACGAAAACGTCAAGGGACACAAGATCAATGCCAACTATTCAGACTCCAGGACTGGCATCACCTGGGGTCCCAGTTCAGAGAGGCGTCTTCCGGGAGGCGACGGAGATGCAGGCTTGTGTCGCGACCGACAGCACTAGCTGTGTGGAACAGCAGAAGGGGAGCCCAAGAATAACATTCTAGCAGGAAATCCTAAGTTGAAGATGCTCAAGCATCACGAAAAACATGTGTTAGCAGCACATTAATGCTTCAATAAGTGCCAATAATTTTACAAAAACAACCTTGAAAGATTGCTTCCCTGAGAATGAACAGATCTAGATGTCATAGCTCTGCAACTTGGAAATCGCAAAAATACCACTAACCGCTTGACTGAAATGCAACACAACAGACTAAAGAGAGGCCGTGACCATCTGGGTGACTGAGGGGGCCGTTCTCATCCAGTGCGAAGCCCCCGGTGAATTTTCACCTTGATTCACCTGCAAATAACCCAAATACTTCCCGGGCTTGATAGGGCCCAGCTGGAGTCAAAAAGCAGGAGCGCAGGGGCCGCGTGTGGTGGTGCAGAGACCGACGGCAGAAACTCTGTGCTTCTGCACGACCCCGTCACCTGCAGGGGAGGTCCCCACACCTGGTGACACCCCACTGTGACAACCCACCCGTGCAAGAGACGCTACACTGGCATTGGAGCATAAGGGACGTGGCCAAAACGGAGCCGTGCTCCTCTGGTTTTTACATAATTAACAAGTGCTATTAAAAAAAAGACATTTCTTCTCTCGTACAAACAGCCCCTGGATGTCAAGAACATAGTGTAGCAAGAGAACGCTTATTGCACCCCTTCACCACGGTCAATGGTGTGGAAAAGCTTCTTGAGCCACACTGGTCCCAATCCAAGTCTCGGGCTGCTCTCTATCAATGACATTGAGTGCCAGTGCATCTATGGAGCTACTGATGGCCACTCGGCCAGAGCTGATAAAGACATCAAAAGGCTAAAAAAAAAAAAAGGCAGTTTTCTGCAAGTTGCACGATTATTCATATTTAATCAAGCTTCTCATTTTAAAACCGCTTAGATGATTAGAACTGCGTTTAAGGGGGGCTCGGGTGTACAATGCAGTTTTTAAAAGTGATTATATCCCAATTCCTCTCCACCTCCACTTTGGTAAAAAGCAGTTTGACAAATGTGATCAGTTTTATCATAAAAACGGGGTCAAAACGTAAGAAGACGGAGGGGGGACAAGGTTAAACACCACTGTATGTCCAGAGAGATTTAGAATTGCCTGATGTGCTGTCCTATAAAACACACGATCAAAAAAACAAACAAAAAAAAATCAGAAGACAGCGCACTTCCTAGACAAGGTGCCTGACAAGGTGCTGAACAGTATGAACACTGTAGACGGGATTTCAAGTTCGCTGCTCACTGAGCGGAGTCCCAAACACAGCAGAACTTCTGATCTTCGGAAAGACCGGCAGCAGCACGCAGAAAGGGCCGTCCGAGAGTCGTGCAACACAGGCGGAGAAGGGCTCTTCCCAGCAACACTGCCTGCCTGTGCAGTTCCTGGTTCTTCTCCACGCCCGCCAGCCCCCGGCCGTCCTGCCCCGCACGGCGGCCGCACCAGGCCGGCTGAGCTCCCTACCCCAGCCCGCGGCTCGGGCAGGCCGGCTGCCGCTCGCCTTTGTAAGCGACTCCCGGTCAAGGCGAAAAAGCCGAACAAAACACCCTTGCGGCTGGGGGCCCTGTCGACCTCCCGGACCCCCCTTCGCCCGGGCCCGGGGGGGCGGCGTGACAGTGTGCGCACCGCGGCGCAGGGCCCCTGCCTCGGACCCGGACCCGCATCGCCGGCGGCCCCGCACACGTCGCGGGCTGCCCTCTGCCGAAACCCATCGCCCCCCACTCGTGTGCACCAGGCGGGGGAGCCGGGTCGGCCCGGGGTCCCCGTCGTCTCCCTCACCTTGTGAATTCTCTTCAGAGCCATTGTTGTGCTGCTCCTCCTCCTGCTGCTGCTGCTGTCACCGAAAACGTGTTTTACTCGATTAAAATGGCGGTTGCTCCCCCCCGCAGCGGACTTGAGCCCCGGAGGATGAACGAAAGGACGCGTCTGGGGACCGAAGGATGGGGCGCCTATGGGCCAGGCGGGCCGGGCGGCAGCGGGTCTGTCTGAAGGCGAAACTGAAAGACAGGACAGAGCCGAACCGAGGTCCTTCCTCCTGCTGCAGCTACCGCGTCACTCGCTCAGCAGCGCCGTACTGCGGCCCTTCCGCCACCGAGCACATCCGCCGCCGCAGCCCGGCCGGGCGGGAGCCGGGGCCTTTATACACCACAGCGGCGCAACCGCCGCCATTGTGGCTCCGGGCCAGGGCGCGCGGCGCGGCCCCGGCCCACGGCGAGCCGGAGCCAAGATGGCGGAGCAGAGGGAAACAGTTTCATCACCTTTAGCCCATGAACCCCCGGTAAGTCGTCTCCGTAAATGTTCCGGTATGGAAATGTGCGGTGGCGTGTGAGTGTATGAGGGAGGAGGAGACTGGGGGGGGGGGAGACTAGTATATCAATTGATAAAAAAGTCAATGTGTATTTTTTATTGACTTCGTTCCCTACGAGGCCGTGCTCGCCTCTGCCCTGCGTGAGAGGAGCGAGCAGAAAACGGAGCGGGGAAGGAAGTTTATAGCGGCGAGGCCGGGCGGAGGGATACAGCGGGGCCCGGCCGGCCCGAGCGCACGGCTCGCGCGAGAAGAGGAGCTGGGCGGCGCGCTGGGATCGCTCGTGCACCCGGAGGGGCAGGGGCAGGGGCAGGTAGCGCCGAGGAGACACGCAGCCCGCTCCCATTAACACTGTTATCAGTGAGGGTTACTCGCAGTGCGGTTCCTACGTCCGCCTGGCGCCTTCGTGCATGGCGACACAAAGCGTTACAGCGCTGCCTGACAGAAAGCCAGCTGTGACACAGCTTGCAGATTCTCAATTTTAGAGCAAGGAACACCTCATAACCTTAACTGATGTTGCATCCAAAAACAACGATAGCAAGTGGCGATGTATCACCGAGACAAAGATTTCACTGTTTCACTGTGTCGTGAATTCTTCCTGCAGTTCAGAACAAGATATCTTGTTGCCCATTCTGTCAAATATGCCCCCCCAAGTGTTTGTACAGATTTTACATCTGAGTTATTATAAACAGTGCAAGTCTTTAGTTCATCAGAGTGAAATGACTGGTAACAACAAGTCTACAGCTTGCAGTCAGGTTCCTACAGAACACCCCATCAACTGTTTTGACCTGTGACTGTCACAGCGCCGGAGAACAAGTGTGAATTTTAGGGCACTGTTACTGCCATTGTAGTGGTGGGTATGTCAGTGAGAATTCAGTCACTGAATGAATTGAAAACCGGGGCTCCTCGATGAAACAGTTCAAAATCCCAGTGCAGGTGTAACGTGTGCTGACAGGATTCACACGCGTGTAAAGACTGAGCAGCAGGTCATGCGTGTCTGGTGTAACGAATTCGCCCCTTGCGTGTAACAGGGATCTCAGCTGCCCGGGCTGGGGGAGCTCTCCTTTAGCTCAGCTGGTGAGTTCCCTGTTGCGTGATGCCGGAGACCCGGGTTCGCACCCAGGCAGTGAGGGACGAACGGGCAGGGCAGGGGCAGGCACCCTAGAGCCGTCACACTGCCATGAATAGGTTGAAACAGACTTCTAGAACAATCTCAGTCCTGTTCTACGCCGGCTCCCACACTGAGCAGTCTCAGATAAGGAAACACCGAGAGGAGAACCTCATGGGCTGAGCCCCACGAGGAGATCTGCTGGATTTAAAGGCGGGTTCTGTGTCATTCGGAGAGACGGGCGCCGCGCTCATTGTGGAAACAAGCTAGTTGGGTTCTGATAGCTGAAGACTCACTGATGTTCCGCACACATGGGACCCCCAGCTGTGTTCAAGTCACCTGAGAAACCTGAACACCACTATACCTTCTACAAGCAAGTATCACCATGAATAATAATACACTCTGTGCAAGCAGAGAGACTGTCTCTGGCCCTTTATTAGACATTCCCCACATGCAACTGAAAACCAGGAATGATCTTAACAGGAAGAAACATGAAAGGAGAAATGGGAAGTACAGGCGGCGTGTGATTCTGCGGCACTAACAGCAGAGTCCTGTCCATCCCGACGTCCATCCCGTCGTCAGGAAGCTGGTTAGATCCGAAACTGCTGTGGTGGACGCAGGGGAAGGCAGGTCCAGCACAACCAGTGGACCCTCCTGTAAAAGGGGGTAACGTGTGAGACCGCAGCCCAGCATGTTGGGCTCAGAGGCCTGGTGCCGATCAGACCAGTGGCTGCTGGGTATCGAATTAACTGAGAGTCGCATCCTGTGATTCTGTATCTTGAGGTGGACTCATGTTCACACACTGTGTGCTCCTCACACTCAGGCTGCAGGAGGACGACGATCAGTCTGCTGTCACTGAAGATGAGTCTTTATTGACATTGAGATTGTAAGATTGCAGATAAGCCCTGCGTTATTTTTCATTCATATGTGCTAATACATATATATATATAAATGTATATCAACCTCACAAATATGCTCCATCCATTTACAGTACCGGGTTTATCCCTAAAGGGTAGCAGGTTGGGCAATTCCTGCTGCTCAGGGTAGGACAAGCAGGTGGGCTGTAGGGCACACGTGTATTTAGGGATGTTGCTAGCCCTGGGCAGCATGTGTTTTCACAGCGCAAGGAAACCAGCACACATGGCGTCAACCCACGTGGACGATGTGAAAACGCACTGAAGGAACCCCAGGCTGGAACCCAGGAACCACAAGGCTGTTGGCAGAGGTGAGCCATTGGGAAGAAAACACATTCACTCACTTTAATGAGTGTGCAGAGCTACTCAGAAACGGGACAAACTATCTCTGAGTAAGTAAGTGTGGGGCCTCTGTCGATGCTTCTGATTAAAGATCCATAGGTGTCTCGAAAGATCCTCCACGTCAGCAGCCACTGGCCTTTCCACCCTGCCCTACTGGCACCAGTCACGGCTTCCTGTGAGTCACACATACGGAAACTTATTCAGTCTTGTAGTGAGGAGCTCCGGAAAAATCTCAGGCCAAAACAGCCACAGGACTCTATCAGCAAGTTCACCAAACTCTCCGAGGAGCTTGTTATACCACTGCAGCACTCGAATGTGCCCAGGCACACACCACACACCGCAGAGGTCCCTGTCGCCACAGCCTAGAGCGGTTTGCTTGAGCTGTCGAACAGGGAATCTTACCTTTCCAGGTTTAATCTCCGGTTACCGCGGGTGTGTAGGTGAAGTCAGGGATGCTGCAGTAGTAGCCTGTGACACATAGACAAGTGACACGGAAGAAGAGAGCTTGAGAATGAATACAATTAACCCTTCGCTTGGGCGCTAATGAAGATTTCAGATTGTCTTTAATGACCTGCTGTTTAGCTCCATGGGCTAAAGAGTATTGTTGATTCCTCTTGTGGCTCCTGAGACCTAAGAATATGAACACCTTTGAGGTTGATTTTACATTCAAATAAACAACATTAATAATAACAGATAATGTTGAACCCCTGTCCCTTGTCTCAGCACATATCCACAGAGAGCCACTGACCTTGCAGGTGTCCATTGCTGACTCTGGACCGGTCGTGCTCTGCTGTGTCAGGATTCTTTCTCTTGCGATGGGATCGCTCCTTGCCTGTAGAGACATTGCAGACGCAAGCCTGATGATGGTGCAGGTGGCAGGTTTCAGGTCTTTTAGTTACCAGAACTGCATGCAGCAAGAGACCTGCACTCAGTCATGGTAACGGCACTCAGGAATCAGTGTCCAGTTGGCTATAAAACTTGCCGTCCATGTTTCATACAGTGCTCTCCTTTCAGCAGGAGAGTTTTGTCTGTTATATTTCAGATTTCAACATCAAATTCTCCAGTCATGTCATCTGAACAGAGAGATGGTATAGCTGGCACAGAGATCCTCTTATTCTCCCAGGGAGTGTTGTGCTCTTACAGCTCTTACACAGGGCACGAGCTGCTCACAGGGCAGGTTTACAGACCAGGGCTTGTCAAGGACCAGGAGCTGCGTCGCCCCGTGTGCTGTACCGCCAGGGAGCAGCAGGGGGCGCTCACCTGTCTTCTGCGGGAAGTAAATGAAAGGTTTGGCCTCACTGGTTTCTCCATCGGATCTCCGGCGCAGGTGCACAAACACAGAGGTTGGCTGGGTGATGTAAGGGTCGAAGTACCTGGGCGTTTTGAAAACAATAGCATACTGAAAAGAGAAAACATGAGAGACCTATAAAACACAGTGCATATGGTGGTGAAGGACAGTAGCAGGTCTTTGAATTGCACGTTCAAGAAGAGCCTTGCAGACAGCAGTGTGGCCCCGCAGGTTTTCAGAAGAAGCAACCCTGGGTCCTTGGCTGTGCTCAGTCACGATGCCACCCTCATGTGTGTCTTTGGAGCATGAGCAAGCCGACACAGACCCCAGTTGAACCCTGATCAGATTAGTTTGATCTACCTGTCTGTCTTAACTGCAGGAGGGGTTTGGATCATGTCTCTCTTCATTAATGGATCTTACTCGAACTTAATTGATCACACCTCACAGATTGTCATAGTTTGCATCTACTGGCAGGGATTTAGATCTGCCAAGTGTGTGTACCACAGCTTTTTAAAGTCAAAGCCAAAGAGGTATTTTTTGGAATGTTACAAATCTGTGTCTGTAAAAGACAGAGGAAGAGTAAGAATGAGTAGTCTATAATATTGGATTTGTCATAGAAAATGGAAAGCCAGTAAAAGATTCATCCATCCTCCAATTTTCTAACTGCTTTTTCAATGATCTGCAGCAAAGTAAAAGGCAGTCTGAGCTGAGAGCTGCCACCCCCAAGCCAGCCGAGCTGGAAATCACTAGTTGGTGAGCTGTGCTTTCATTACACACAAGGCTTAGAAAAAACAATAACTGCAAAGGTTGCTAACGTGTTAAGACTATTGGGAGCGTTTACAGGAACCTTCGACAGTGCTAAGTGAAACCATTAGCTTTCAACTCAGATCCATGCATACTTGGGGATAAGGACTTGACTCTTGTAGTGAAGGAGTTGTCTGTTACGTGAGCTGTGCTCCCCAGCCTCTGAGCAGCGGACGGGCCACAGAGATCCTGCTCCAGGGCTAGCGGAACACAGCGCTAATCAGCCAGCAAAAAGGGGTTTTTACTCTGAGAAACCAGGGCAAATATCTCAGAGCCAGAGGTGGTCCTGCTCTGGGGGAATGTGGCTTTCACCTCCTGGCTGATACCCCAGGAGCCTTAATAAGTTGAATTATGCTGCTCGGGCAGTTGACACTCTGTGCGAGATGGGCTTCTCTGAGTTGGGAATTGATCTTTCTGCCTTTAGTCTCTTTGAACACCAGTATGAACCTGTGACCAATGCCTTAGTGGTTTTTCACGTCATTCTGATATCTAGAAACATACTGGTCACACTTCAGTAGCCGTTGGGGTACAGAGGGGGTGGTAGTTATATTGCCCAGTGATGCAGATTACAGGGAAAAGGGCCTGGCAACGTTTGCCCAGGCCAAGTCTGTTTGAAGCGTTTTACCTGCCTATGCACGTCTGTAGGGCCAAACTTTCCAAAGGCTTCCCAGCAGGTCCCATCGTCATTCTCCTGGTAGAACCGCACCTGAATGTCATCTGAGGAAACAGCGCATGTCTGAGCTCGGGACGTCAGCCTGGTCTGTGAAGACTGCAGTGCCCGAAACCGAGACCTTACTTAGTGTCTCAAACCGTTTAGTTTCCTAAACCAAAATTTTCAAGTCCAATAAAGTTGGTGATTCCATAGTCACTCATAAAACATTTGTTGTTGAAATGTCCTTCTCCATGAGAACTAAAAAGGCCTAATTATGCAAACTGTTGAATCAGATCAAGGGTTCATTCAAGTGGCTGAGAGAGCATTTGGAAATAAAACAGTGGAGCAAAGGCCAAGGTTGAGAAATGTCGCTATGCCAAGGGTTGAATGCACCTTCAGTTGTGTTTAAGAATTTCCTGGAGGATGTGGACAGTGCCCTGAAGACACCAAGGTCCTCCATCATTTACTGGGAAGAGAATTTCTCAAAATGTCTGGTGTCATCATTGTTAAAGACTGTGACATAAATCACTGTTATTATTACCATCTGCTTTCCACAAACTTTTATGTCTGTTAAGTGTTTACTAATGTATAAAAGTATGGAAGAATCTGTGGAACGGCTTAAATAGTGAAACAGCATGTGTTTCACAAAGTGTAATAATACTCTACTTTGACACTGTAACACTGGATTTCACTGTTATGGCTGCACTTTAAAAAAATGAAACCAACACTTGCCCCATGGCTGTCTGTTGTGAACTACAGTTACCTCTAGACTGAGAGAAACAAACTGGCAGGAAAAACAACGTCTTAAATTCAGAAAGTATGGAACCTGCTCTGAGGGCAAGCGGATGTCAGTGAGTGTGCCTGTTGTGCTCAGAAGGCAGATGTGTCCGATACAGTTAATCAGTTCTGCCCGAGTAAACTGGTGCTTTCAGCACACGTCCGTACGTGTGGCACCGGTGTGGTGCAGTGCTGCACGGTTGGGGCTGCTTCAGAGACCTCAGTCCTGCTGTTACACTGCCTGGTTACCAACACAATAAATAATGGCTTTCAAATGTGTGTGCTGCTCGTCTCAGAAGATAGGCGTTACCTTTCTGGACTTTGTCACAGAGCAGAAAGACTTCTTCACCCCCTGCTGCTGAGCCGGAGGTCCTGTCCATTCGTACGATCTTCAGACTGGATGCATTAGGAGCCTCTTTGGTCAAACAAACAAGAAAACAATGTCTTGAATTAAAAGAGGTGGTGATGACTTAATTTCTCTGGGTCACAATGACACCTTCATCACTTCATCACTTTCTGTCCTATTTTTCCCACTTGGAATTGGGAAAGAATTTGCAGTTTAATGTATGAGATCTCTGGTTATGGATACCACTGGTAATGACTACCAGGTACAGGGTTTTTGAGTGTGACCTTTTCAAGATGAGAGGCAATGTCTGCTCTATTTAAATTCTTCCTGCAGCACAGTGATTACAGAAGTCTCTTGTATTATTAGAGGAGGCCAACAGGTCATTATAACACTCCTGTGAAGTTTCCAGGGAATTAGCAGTAATGCCAGCAGCTCAAAACGCTGTGGTAGTGATTTGATGTCACACCCTTAGGCAAGATGAGGACAAACTGGTATCAGCTAGCGTCGGCATGCAGGGACTGATTTCTACAGAGAAAAGTAAAACACTGTCGGTTTCCTGAACCTTCAAAACACAGAAGTCCACGGACTGAATGATCTGGATCATCTGAACACGGAGCCAGTTTCTAACTGAATGGCATTAACACAGGAACCTCCGTCCATTTTCTAACCACCTCTCCCGATTCAGGGTTGCGGTTGGGCGGAGCCTATCCCAGCAAGCAACGGGCACAAGACATGATGCTTGCTCCGCAACCAGTCCGTGATGCCCAGACACCCCCGGGGGTAGCACCGAGTCCGAGTCCCTCTCCAGTTCCCTGCACGAGGGCAGTCCCGACCGCCAGAGCCCGGAATTGGAGCTCCTGGCGCATCACAGCATCACAGCGAGCTGCTCAGGAGGGCGGAGGCTAGGCAGCCAGGGCAGGAGAGAGAGAGAGACGGCGGGAGAGAGAGAGAGACGGCGGGAGAGGCTTCCTTACTGCTGTCGTAGATCGGGCTAGACACGGCCGGCTGCAGCGCCTGCACGAAGTTCCCGTTGTTGTCCGGCAGGTAGACGGTGAACATCAGGCGCACCACCGTGAGGTCCAGGGCTCTGGCGCACTGCTGTGCCGCCCTGTGCAGCCGGTCGCGCTCCCTGTCTGAAACACGCGGCAGAGAGGGCAGAGGGCATCAGGCCGCGTCCGCAGCGCCAGTCCCAACAGCCCTGCGGCGTTTGCTTAAGGTTGTGTGTTCTGTCTCTGCACAAGAACAGGGTTTACCTACACGAGGTCTGCTTCACAGGATCACCTGAAATCGGATCACCTGTAAAAGGGTAAAATGCCAGAAAAAAACTGCTTTCACTTCACGCCTCCGATTGCATCTGTAATCTTCTAATGGACTAGCTCTCTGCTCATGCTGGCAGCGCCGGTGCTGCACTGAGCCCTCGGCACCACCAGAGGGCGGCGTGGTCAGGCGAGCGCCTGCGCTGGTCCTCACCCGTGGGATCCCTGTGCTGGAGCTCCTTGCAGTGTTCCCTTCGCCAGCCCTGCACCAGGCGCTCCTCCAGAATGTCCACAACACTCCTCCTCGGGACGTGCAGGATTCCCAGGTTGGGAAAACTGAAAAAAGGAAGCAGCAGCAATAATAACCTCGCGGGCTCGCGCTGTCGCTGTTCTTTTGCAACCATTTCACACGTGATGTGATGATTGTTTTATCGCGCAATAAAGGCACACATACTGGGGGAAGGTGAGAATGTTCACATGTGGACTGTTGCTGCTGCTGATATTCGTAAAGATATCTTAAGAACTTTACCAGATGTTGAACAGCTTGTATTGTTTTGACACAAGGTCAGGAATTCCGGAAGTAGGCATAGACATCAGGGTGCTGTTGTCAGCAAGACGTGTTAAGGAAGGCTTGGGTTAGAGAGGCACTGCTGGCCTTTTGAGCTCAGATTATAGCGTCATTTCAGCACCTGACATGGAGCTGAGATGCTGGAGCTGGGGAATCTGCAGCTTCAGCAGTGTTTGCTCAGCTACTCAGCTACTGCCCCTGTCTGTCCTTCTGTGCTCCCAGTGTGAGGCCAGACAGCTTCTGCCCAGGCTGCCCTGTCCACCAGCCCCGCCTGCTATGGGCAAACCTGTCTCCACGGGGCGCTTTAAGAGACACTTCAGTGGGTTTTGTGGATCCTTATGGCTCTGCTAACCAGACGGGCTCGAGGAGCTGAACGGCCGCCCCTGGTTTGCGAGGGGCCGGTTGCTCTCTCTGCTCACTCCACAAGTGGCCAGCAGGTCCCCTTCTGTTTGAGGAAACCCTGGCTGCAGCTGCTGCAAGGGTGCCGGTGCCCACGAGGCCCGCGAGCTCCCTACCTGACGGTCATGTCGGGGCCGCTGACGCCCACGACACACATCCCGTTCTCACACTGCTTGCCGACCAGGCTGTGCACATGCAGGAGGGGGGGGTCGTCCACAGTCACGCACTGGACAACCACCCTCGCCGGTCCAGTGTAGTTGCAGATCTAAAAGTGAACAACGTGAACAGCCCTTTGAGGAAATATCCCTTGATCAACTGTGCTGACAGGTGACGCCAGAGTTTGTGTGAGTTTTTCTGATGCCTCAGTCACGACACCCGCAGCTTGCAAACACGTGATGTTTCTGTGCAACAAGAAGCCAGAAACAGGGTGAGGATTTCTACTAGAAACAGCGACTGTGCGTTAACACGAGAGACCCCACGTCGGAGACAGACTATCAGGCTCCGGATGACGAGTGCAGTTGCTCGCAGTAGGAGGTCTCTGGGTCCATGTGCAAGCAGCACGTTTCCATATTGTTAACGAGTTCGGGAAACGGCAGGGCAGCCGCTGTAAGAAGACACATCCGCTGTAAGAACTTCGAAGTGGCCAGCAGGTGTACAAGGAAAGAACTTGCAAAGTTGTCAGCATTTCATATCAGCCCATCGTTTACAGCAGGCTGGCTGGCTGACATGTAGTCACAAGCCTGCAGTTCCACTCTGTGACTTGAGCTCTCCAGATGCTCGTCTGTCACACGTGGCGGCTGGCTGCCTACTTCTGAGCAGAACAACTGTGTCTGGAGATCCCTGTCCCATCCATTCATTTTACAGTTTTACAGTTTCTTTCTGTTTTGCTTATTTCAACTGATTCTGTATCTAAATGAATGTGCAATGAGGATTAATTGTCTCATGTGTAGGGTCCACAATTTTTTCTCTTTTTTAGAAAAATATTATTCCCCACAGATAATATTCTAATTATAGGGTTTTGCAGAATTTTTTTTCTAAAAATGTAATAATCTGAACTAGACATATTAATGGATACCTTACATTTAAAGACAGACATTTGGTTTAGTGGAAACAGCTAATGCTTACAGGACATGTAAGCCTTTCCAGTAACTAGACTGTGGTGCTGTCTTCTTGAGCACAATTATGTCCCTCTACCTAATACAACCATGTAAGATACACTCTACATGTGTCGTGTGAGAGCACAGTGTACTGTGTCTCTGTGTCGCGTGAGAGAGCAGTGTACTGTCTGACTCTGTGTCGTGTGAGAGAGCAGTGTACTGTGACTCTGTGTCATGTGAGAGCACAGTGTACTGTGACTCTGTGTCGCGTGAGA